GTAGAGTATTACTAATGAGGGCATGTGGTAGTGTAGTTGGTTGGAGCACTATGCTACAAGTGGGAAGGTCGTGGGTGGATTTTTTTTTTCCAATTGACCTAATCCTTCCAGCCGCACTATGGACCTGGGGTTGACTCAGCTTGCAACAGAAATGAGTAATAGGAATCTTCCTGGGGGATAAAACACTGCCGGTGTGTAAGGCTGACAAACTAACCGCCATCTTTTACTCAACTGTCTATAGAGAAAATGTGTGAGCCTGGACATTTCAAAACCCTATGGGCCTTCATGGCCTGTTACAGGGATAGCTTTGCCCTTTCTCTACTTTTACAATATTACTAACTCCTAATGTGGATAACTTGCAAAGGTTTCACTGCAATTTATTAAACAGAAGAAATTGTTGTTGATTCGGCAGTCAAGTATCTATAACCGTTCCTCGCTCACCTTCCTTACACCTTCAGCTTGCCACGTGTTGATCGACACCCCTTTCCTTCGTCCTTTTTCTGTTGTTGGGTGCTAGTAAGCTTAACTGGCGTTCGATTACAATAATTAAGGGTTCAATTTAGGAAAGAGTTGTAAAGGTGATGGGTAACTAGTTCAGCTGTTGGTAGAGCTGGGATTCTTCCTCAGAGCGTTTGGCGGGGCATTGCTTAGGCAAGGAAGGTATAAACACGATGCTACCTTTGCAGTGAAGCACTGTGATAATTTATTAACACTTTTATTCGCTTGATAGCACACACAGTTAATATATCTACTTGTATATAAGTACTTATCTAGCTTCAGTCCTGGTACACCAGAAGTTATCAGACTAGTTTAAGTAAACACTTTGGCTTGTCGAATTTAGGCTTTTGTCTAGAACAGTGGGGTTACAAATTTTGCATCTAAATCTCCTGCAAACAAGAAGGTGACTATGTCCCACTGGCTTGACTACCTGCTACGACAATTAATTCTTTTGTAGTAATGTTTCTAATTGTACCTAAAACTAGTCTGTGGCATTGGTGCAGTTAGAAATCGGAATTCCAAGTGAGCAGCTGACAAGAGTGGAGTTTCGGGATATTCACCGGATAGCAATGACGTGCACGTGGGAAGCTGAAAAATCCCCACTGTTAGAAGCATTTGCTAGAGAACAGCTGTTGAAGAACCAACAGTCTGGAGAAAGGCTTAGTGGGTGCTGTGGTGGTTTGTGAATTGTGGAGATTAGTGGTGCCACTGAAATTGCTTGTGGTTCTGAGTGGCTAATATAAGTTGTGAATAAATCCATTCACCAATCCATATCCCGTCTATAGTCACACAACCTCAAATATGTGACAATATTATGAGCTACTGACAGCATCCTTAAATAAATAACAAACAAATAAATAAATGTATTCATTACTTCAAGAAATTTATGAATAGGTTAAGAGGGAACCACTGTACTTTCTCAATGAATTCCATACAGCTGGACGAGAATCACTGCAATACCCCTGCACGCAACCCTTCATATTTGCTGATGTACGTGTATTTACTGTTCAGAACGGTATAAAACTGGAGTTTCTTTTTAAATTTTTTCTGAATACACCATTAGGAATATCAGACAGGACTGGAGCTTACTACAATACATCACCTTCTTGTCTCTGCTGAAGTACACCATTAGGAATATCAGACAGGACTGGAGATTACTACAATACATCAGCTTCTTGTCTCTGCTGAAGTTAAGTTCTTGAGCAAAAATAAAAACGCATAAACAAAAATACAGAAGCAGTATTAGATGTATGTAAGAAAGTAAAAGGTGAAGTTTTACCTGTGCTAAACTAATTAAGAACAATGCCATGGGGGAGTTTATGTATGGATCCATTTTTTTCCTTGATCTTGGAACTAGTTTAAGGAGAGCAGTCAGCTTCATGCCCCAGTCGTTTTACCCCTGGAGAGAGAGACCCCAGTACACAGTGAGTAGGAAGCTTGCTGGCCACCAGAGCCAGTATGGATGACATGGAGGAGAGGAAATTCACCTTAACGGTAATCAAATTCTGACTCTTCTGTCATCCAGCCCGTCGCGTCTCTATACCGACAGCGATGTCCCAGCTCACATGCTGTTTGCCTGAAGAGTATTAAACTAGGATTTAGATTTTGAGCCAATCACTTCTTTGGCCATGGTAAGATCCAAAGATGGGGCCAAGTAGAGACTGTGGTGAGTGGGGCCCACAAGGTGGATGTCTCTTTTCTAAATCTGGGTATGACCCTTCTTACTAAATTTTAGTTTTGGTGGTTCTCTTTCATTTACTCACCTTTGCCAACCCCCCCCCCCTTTTTGTATATACAGTAACACTTGGTTATAGCAACATCGGTTTCTGCGACACCTTGTCTATTGCGTCAAATATTCAATGGTACGAACTAATTCCTCATAAAGCAACTGTTTTTATACCTTGCTTAGTACGACATGCACAAATGCATCAACCTCGTATGTAACGTCATTTTCATTCCGGAATTTCTCTGATATCGTGGGAGAGTTCGATGTGTCTGCCCACCCTCACTTTCTCTACTTGCTGACGTGACTGTCCTGGAAGAATATGACCGGGGGTCGCAAGAGCAGCGTGGGTTTTATGCGAAAACAAGGGTGTGGGGGTGGGACTGCGTGAATAGTGCAAGAGGACGCAGCAGATTGTTAACTGCATTCCTTTCCTAGAATCTCGTCTAACAGGACCTCACATTGTCTACTTACCCTATAATGTTCCTGCCTAAACACAGAGAAGTGCAGTAGCAAAAACATGGCAATGAAAAGGAAAGTTTTAAGCATTGAAGAGAAAGTTAAAGTGATTCGTGAAATATTGTGTGTATTGTCAGTGAAAAGCGCTGTAATATGTCTTTGATATTACACATTTGGGCACTTCCACGTTAATGTTACGTTAGTCTGTACTTAACTACGTATTTCACTAAAAAATGCAACATTTTAACTCGGTTTTTGGTAGATTTTTACGTGACTAACATAAGGCTACTGTGGAAGTGCCCATTTCAGTTACGACGACATTCGTTTATAACGACACTATTTTTAGGTCCCTTTGATGACGTTATAACCAAGTTCTACTGTATATTGCTTTCTGGAATGTGATGACATGTAGTCTTGCAGAAGTTTATCAAAGGTTCAGAGATAGTGCCATCATTTTCAGGGCCGAAGAGGAAGGCATGGAAGCAAGCAGACTAAGCTCTACTCTCCTTCCTGTTTGCTCACCTTACTCTTCGACCTTGAAGGTGGAGAGCGAGATGTTCCTCTTAATCCTCACCACTGCCTGGTCAGCATACAATACTCCTTACCCAGTTGCAAAGACAACATTCTGTTGAAGTAAATAAAAATAGAATGATACAAGACAAAAACAGACTCCGTGATTTTAGTCCGCAAGCGAACTATACTGACAAGAAAGAAAATGTGTTGTCAAGAAAGTAAGGATGGAAGGATTATGGAGATATATGATGAGAAATTTGCAAAACCAGTAAATGAGCATGGAATTTGGAAAATCAGAACTGAACAAGAACTGAGGGTGAAGCATAATACCCCTGATCTGGTAGCAAATACTAATACAGAGAGACTGAAGTCGCTGGTGAATGTGATTAGATCAGAACAAACAGAAGTTTCTCTACTTTCAGGCTAAAAATTACCTTCTATTTACAAACCTACTCCTGCTTAGTATTGAGGTTAAGGACGTGTGAAGCTTTATCTCCATGGCTCCATATACTTCCATGGCACCACATATAACTCCATGGGTAAGTTCAATTTACAACAGTAAAACACATGATGTTGATTCAAGTGTTATTACAAGGTGGTTCAAATATGACCGGGACTGATTTTTTTTTTAAACCAAAATTTCCAAACACTTACTTGCACACGTCAGTCTTCAACGTACTCCCCTCCAGAGTGAACACATTTTTTCCAACGCTCTGGAAGCATCCTGATGCCCTTTCAAAAAAGTCTTGTGGTTGGCGGAATAGTCACTCCTGAACATTCTGGATGGCGGCGTCGTCCACGAACCACATGCCTTGCAAGTCTGATTTGAGCCTTCCAAACAGGTAGAAATCACTTGGTGCCAAACCAGGACTGTACGGCAGATGTGTCAGAAGGTTCCATTTCAATTTCTGGAGGGCTTCCATTCTTGTTTTGGTCATATGGGGGCATGAATCGTCTTGAAGGAAGGCTACACGCTTTCCACCTCTCTTCCGCTTGGATCGGATCTTTTCCTTCAAGTCTGTTGCCCGGAGGTCTGAGTAATAAGCTGCATTGACTGTTCTGGCATCTGTCAGAAAGTCTACATGGATAACACCTGCTCGTCCTAGAAGAACGTTGCCATTACTTTTCCTGCTGAACGTCTCCTCCATGTTCTCTTGGGTTTGGGAGAACTGGTTTACCGCCACTCGCGTGATGATTGCTGGAACTCGGGAATGAAGTAGTGCACCCATGTTTCATCGGTGGCTCCAAGTTCCTTGATAGTGATGCGCCTATTCTCATGAATATGTGCGTCTGCACGATCAACGTTTGGCTTGGTGACGGATGTTCGCAGCTGACAATCATGCGGTTCATTCTCCACATGATGTGCCCTCTCCGAAGCACATACACCACTCAAACACATGGGTCCATGAGAGACACTCTTCCCCATACTGTTGTTGGATTCTGTAGTGAATTTCAGTGGACGGGACGTTTTCTCCAATGAGGAATTTGATCACAATGCGTTGTTCCACGCTCCGCGGTACCTTCTCTACGCTCATCCCTCTAGAAACTCCCAGACAGCACTGAACAGGTTCTAACCATAACAGGAGGGAGAGTGGAGGTTGTGGCTACAATCCCTAAAAGGTCGCACAGCTGCTGCGCAGTGCGGCTTGTTTATAAAAAAAAGAAACTCAGTACCTGTCATATTTGAACCACCTAGTATTTACATTATTATATTAATGAATATAACTTCACAAAATATTAACAGATATCAGGTACTTATAAGATTAAAATATGACACCAGTTACAGATGACAGAACGACACACTAGCTATCCAATTTGGTTTTACATTAATCTTTTAATGGATTACAGAAAGTACTTTTGTACCCTTCAATAAGGTTTGGGACAAATAATTTTACTTCATAAAATACCACTAATGAAAAAATGGATGAATATCTCCTCTTCTCTAGTGCTGAAAAAAAATACACAGTGAGGTGTGAAAACTGTTTTAGGAGCCGAGCTCACAGATTGACCTTATCCTTTCCCCTTGCATGGGGCTCACTGCGGACTGCTTTGTGTGGAGTTCCAACTCTTTCCTGCCAAATCTTCATTTTCAGTCCATTCATTGTCAGTGCAAACCTCCAGATGAATTTCCTCTCAGCAATTTGAGAAGTATTGCGCTTCCATTCAACAAAACTTTTTGCAGATGGCTGAGGTTGCCTTGTGGGAGCCTGTGTGACTTGCACTGTGTCAGGGAACAGAGGGCACAGATGTTTGTGTTCATGGCAAGGTGCCCCAAGCTTGCCAATCATTCCTGAACTGCCAGAAGGTACAGTTCCATTCTTGCTGGGACTTGCTAGAATACGCACATTGACGTGGGTGGCTCTGGGATGTCCATCCCTGTAAAGTCACAGCAGAGTCATGGTGAGGAAACAGAACCATCAGCAGCAAAGCAAAATAAATGTGAAGTTAAGAAATTTCCATGTTTCATCACACAACTTACACCATTTTTTCCAAAATTTCAAAGAAAAAATTTGATGCATGATTTATGACAATGTCTACTGCAAAAAATATCACCATTTTCATAATATGATTATTTTTTATGGTGAGGAGTTGTTAGCCCCACACCCAACCCCCAAACTGGAGGATCACCCCTTATTGGCTGTCTGTGACTGCTTATTCAATATATTCGCAGCTTCCCTCCAAAACTTTAGGGCGTCCCCTCCATCCACAACCTGAGGATGCGCCATGCCGTGGTGACAAGGGAGAATATTTGGACCAAAGAGAGATGTAGTGGAAGGAGGCTGGAGAAAACTGTACAATGAGGAGAGTTATAACTTGTACTCTTCTCCAAGTATAATTAGAATGATCAAGTCAAGGAGGATGAGGTGGGCAGGGCATGTAGCACAAATGGGGGAGACAAGGAATGCGTATAGTATATTGGTGGGAAAGCCAGAAGGAAAGATACCACTGGGAAGAACAAGGCGTAGGTAGGTGGACAATATTAAAATGGATCTTAGAGAGATAGGGTGGGATGGTATGGATTGAATTGATCTGGCTCAGGATATGGACCAGTGGAGGGCTCTTGTGAACACGGTAATGAACCTTCGGGTTCCATAATATGCTGGGAAATTCTTGAGTAGCTGCAGAATTGGCAGTTCCTCCTGAAGGGCTCAGCTCCGTGAGTGAGTGGGTGGGTGGGTGAGTGAGTGAGTGAGTGAGTGAGTGAGAGTGAGTGAGTGAGTGTGAGTGAGTGAGTGTGAGTGAGTGAGTGAGTGAGTGAGCAAGAGAAGAGTACTGTGATGTGAGAAGGAAAGGAAAAAGGATTCATAAGAAGAAAAAGATTATGAAAAACAACTTAAATTGCTACAAAAATGTGATACTAAAATGACAGATGGAAGTTATACAAGCAAGTGAATAGAATGAGGGATGGCTTCCAGGCTAAAGCATTGAGTTGCAGGATTACAGATGGTAACTCTCTCTCAGATAAAGCTGATATCCTGAATAAATGGAAGGAGCATTTTCCAAATCTGTATGATATGACAGAGGATAAATTGGAAATGCCCCCACAGTGGACAGTACCATCTACTGATGAAGTTGAAGAAATACCATTACCTACCATGCAAGAAATGAATTTTACAGTTTTAATACATTAAGGACTGGCGATTTAAATATTTAAATCACCCTGGGGCTGCCATTATTAAACCTACTATCCTAACTTGTGCACTGTTCACTTTAAAAATCAATATAAAATCTCCTAATTAATTTTATGAACTAAAATTTTTGGAGAACACTTTCCAATGCTCCTTGAAGTGCTTGAGGAATCATTCCCCTTTGTGAAGTGGCATTACACAGAACTTGCAAATGCAGACATACTCCTTTTTTTGTGAACTGTGCAAATACGGCATTGCCTAGAAGGATGCTTCACCTTCGAATGTTCACCCTTCACAATTTTCACAAGGGTATGTTTCCGCATATCACCAAAGAGTCGCCCTGGGGGTCCACATGAGGCCAGCGTGGGGTTGGAGTTGATAGGCCCGGACACACTAAGTCTGTGTCTGACTCTGGTTCTGCCGCCACCATCTGTTCTGTAGCCCAGGCCTTTGCCACTTTCATCAGAAATGCTTTGTATTTCAATTCTGAATCAGGGTTTAAATTTCTGTGATTTTTTTAAATTTTTTACTGTCCCCACAATGTTATTACCCACATTACTGTCGGAGCTACTGTCAGTTTTACTGTCTGTGGCCACAATTCTTTGTTCTCCCCTGTCACTGCTACTCTCTGAATTACCATGACTACAGTCTCATAACACAGGTCAGCTAGCTCATCAGAGAAAAATTTGTCCTTGATCCATACTCCACCACTAACTACTGGCTGATGCATACAGCTAGAAGCAAAGCAAAGCATTTTCCTTTATAGTGGGTTAAGCTAACAGCAAGGTCAAGTTACTGACTGCTAGGTAAACATTCCGGAGTTTTATTGCAGAGTATTCACTGAGTTGGGTGGCGCCAGAGCAATGTATAGCGTGTTACAACCTAACATGACCCAAAATCATGATATCATGTGACCAGTCCTCAATGTGTTAAAATTGAAAAATAACACAGCTTCAGGACCAGGACTGCATGCCGAACTTTTAAAAGTAGACGAAATGAGTCTCATAGACTATGGAAGGCAATTCAAAAGGTGTGGAAAAAGGAAATATTTCCCAGTCAGTGGGAAGAGGGGTTAATATGCCCTATCTACAAAAAGGGAAAAAGAAAAGATCAAATAATGTGTGAAAACTATTGTGGTATTTCTTTGCTAAACACAGCATATAAAGTATTCTCAGTTGTGCTATTTCAAAGACTACAACTAACTGCAGAAACAAGTGCCGGAAATTATTAGTGTGGGTTTAGGCCTGGAAAGTCCATTTCAGACCATTTTCATTCAGTCAGACAATTACTGGAAAAAGTGGAAGAATATGGAGTTACACGTACTAGATGTCTGTAGATCTTAAAGCTGCCTATGACAGCTCTGATAGAGCTGGGCTCTTCAAGGCTATGGAGGAATTTCATGTCCCCAGAAAACTTACATGTGTAGTGGATCCTATTCTCAAAACTGTAAGCTGCAGAGTTAAAAAATTTAATGGAAAAACTGAATTTTCTGAGACTCACACAAGGATGTGCCTTGTCATGCCTTCTGTTTAATCTAGCCACAGAGAATGTTGTAAGAGAGACCAGTCTGGATATAAGAGGTACCATACTCCATAAAACTCTACAGATATTAGCATATGCTGCTGACGTTATTATTGGTAGAAATGAAAGAATAATCAAAGAAGCACACACAAAGGTCAAGAAAGCAGCATTACAAATGGAGTTTATCCATTAATGAAGATAAAACTAAATTTATGGAAGTTAGCAGTAATAAAACCAAAGAGAAGCATAACATAATAGACAACAAAAAGTTAGAGAATTTCAATATCTTGGGTCCACAGTCACCTGTGATGACAACATTGATGTGGAAATTAATCACAGAATAACAATGGGAAATAAATGTTATTATGGAATGCAGAATTTACTACAATCAAAACTTCTAAGATACTAAATGTAGAATATACAAGCTGTGTCCCAAAAGTCATGAAATATATATATATATATTTTTTATTTATTATATCGGTACAAAGTGTTAATATTCTTCAAAGTACTGTTCATGAAGATGTACACATTTTTTCCACCGACTCTCCCATGCCTGGTACGCCCCCTCAAAGACCTCGACGGGAACCTCATTTAAAGCTGTTGTGACGGCCGCTTGGACAGCCTGAATGCTTTCAAAATGGCGTCCTTTGAGTGCAGTCTTCATCCTCAGGAACAAAAAGAAGTCGGCCAGAGCTAGGTCGGGGCTGTAGGGTGGCTGTGGCAGCGTTGCCACGTGGTGCTTCACCAGGAACTCACGGACGAGCAGAGACGTGTGGCTGGCCGCATTGCCATGATGCAGCCGCCAGTTAGCGGAGATGTCTTCACACGCGGATGACCATTTTCCTTAATCTTTCTAGAATATCTACGTAATAGGAAGCACTGACGGTCTGTCCTTGGGGTAAAAACTCTTTGTGGACCACACCCTTGGCATCGAAAAAGACGATGAGCATTGTTTTCACTTTGGATTTGCTCATCTTCGCCTTCTTCGGTTTCGGGGAAGCTGAGGTGTACCATTCAGCACTCTGCCATGCCCCGTAGGCTTGCTTAAGCAGTTTGAGTTTCGGCAGCTTTTTTGTTGAGCTTTGTGCAGAACTTGACCGCCCAATGCTGTTCGAAAGTAACCGCCATCGCGAGCCATGACGTGGTCACAAAACACATGTGCACTAAATCAGCGATACTGACGCCTCCGATGCTCGAGCAGACTGACCTTGGGCGTGCTGTGAAGCTAAAAGCCTCCCCCTCCTAACCCAACCAGTTAAAGCGCACTCCGACCAGTAGCAGCACGGGAAAGAAATGTATTTCATGACTTTTGGGACACACCTTGTATATAACCCTTATAGAACCTGCTGTACTTTATGGTAGTGAGAGCTGAACACTCGCTAATTTGAATGAGGATAAAATGAAAATGTTTTAAAGAAAAATTCCATGGCCCAAGCTATGTAAATGGAGTATGGAGAATAAAATATAATGATGAATTATATAAATTATTCAAAGAACTAAATATAGTGCAGTCAAAAATAAACAGACTCAAGTGGCTAGGGCATATCAGAAGGATGGATGAAAGTTTGCTCTGCAGGTAATTAACATTCTCCCAGCTGGAAAGCAGTAGAAAGAAAGGAAGCCAAAAATTAGGATGGCTGGATAATATAATGCATGACCTAAGAATTTTAGAAGTGACAGCTTGGTGGAAGATGACACAAGACAGGAATAATTGGGAGGCTGTTATAAAGGAGGCCAAGGCTCACAAAGGGGTGTAGCTCTGAAGGAGAACTGTCAGCTTCCTGCCTTATGTGATTTCACAAAAGTCTGTTTTATCAATATCATGAATGGTATGGAACACAAACATCATATTTTCTTTCTGTATTGCTGTGATTATCTTCTGTCAACTTTTCTGTGTCTCAAATAGATGGCAGGGACAAGAAAGTTGAATCGGCTATGCAAAGCATATCTGTAACCCAGTTCTTACGAATACTGAAGACATCTAGCATGGGAGATGTGTCAGACTTCTACTAAACATTACTGGAAGGACATCTTGTTCCATTTTGACTTGTCAGGTAAGATGCATCTTCCTTGTTTGTTACTAGCATTTAGGTAAGAGGGTTCTTCAGCATTCCAGTACTTAAGTGCTTATCAGTAATGAGAATTAATACTGAAGGGACATTAGTATGCAGTTCAGGCACTAACAACAATGGATTAAATACAGCCACAGCTCGCACAACATTCCAGATAAAAATCTTCACACGCACATACAGATATATATCAAAATCAGAAGACCTCATGATGTAGTTATAGTACATGTTACACCAACTAGTTAACTAACAGTTCATCTTTTTAGAAGCTAATGGGAAAATCACTTGTACGCGGTACAATCCAAAAGTTCCCAAAATTTGAATTTTGCAGGCAAATGGTTATAAGTACATCGAAATACCCCTAGGTGTCTCCCCACACACCCTTCTTGAATCAGTGTGGCAAGCGGCGTCAAGATGAGCGGTTGGGTTTATTATTGGTGAACGTACTTCCACTGTTGTGTTTCCGTGAGATTGCAGTTTTGCAATGGCTGACCTGAGAGAGCAGTGTGTCTGTATACAGTTTTCTTTTAAACTTGGGAAAACAGCTGCAGAAATGCACCAAATGTTGAAGCAAGCTTTTGGTGACAAAAGTTTAGGCCAGGCACAAACCTGCGACTGGTATAAGCATTTCAAAAATGGCCGAACATCGACTGATGATGACGATCATTCGGGACGGCCGTCAACTGGCACCAAACCAGAAAATGTTGCAAAAGTTAGGAGTCTGATTCTGCAAGATCGTAGACTGATCATCCAAGACCTCTGTAACACCTTGGGACTAAGTTATGGTACATGTCAACGAATTTTGTCAGAGGAATTGAACATGAGGAGGATTACAGTGAAGTTCGTGCCACAACTGCTGCAAAATGAACAGATGCAGCATCGCTTGGAAGTCTGAAGGGAACTTCAACAACAGCTTCAAGAGGATGCAAACTTTCTTTTGAATGTCATCATTGGTGACGAAAGTTGGGTTATGGCTACAACCCTGAAAGTAAGCAGCCATCATCGCAATGGAAGAGCCCTTCTTCACTTTGGCCAAAAAAAAAAAAAACCCGACAAGTCAAGCGCAACATTAAGTCCATGTTGATCTGTTTTTTTGATATTGACAGGATTTTTCATTAGGAATTCGTCCCTCCTGGTCAGACAGTCAATAAAGAGTTCTATTGCGATGTTCTAAGTCATATGAGGGAGGACATGAGGAGAAAATGTCCAGAGAAGTGGTGCACAAACAACTGGGTACTCCATCATGACAACTACACAACCGCATACAGCTTACATTGTGCAGGAATTTTAGGCTAAAAACAAGACGGCAGTTGTTCCCCACCCATTGTACTTGCCAGATGTAGCTCCATATGACTCTTTTCTCTTCCCCAAGATGAAAATCAAGTTGATGGGGCGAAGATTTGATACAGTTGAGGAAATTCAAGCGGAAATGCAGACGGTACTAAACACCTTAACAAAGAAAGACTTCCAGGATGCATTTCAAAAGTGGTAGAAACATCGGGATCGGTGTATGTGCTCCCAAGGGTAAGACTTTGAAGGTGATGGTGCAGAATAAGATCCAGGTATCACGTAATAGTTTTTATTAATATATTTTGGGAACTTCAGGATTGCACCACATATACAGATTAAGTTCATTTTCCCACTAACTTCCAAAAAAGTTGAACCTTTAGCTCCTTACTTGGCATAACACAACCCAAAACTACATCATGAGGTGTGGTTCACTCAGCATGCCAGCAGCCATTTATGCTTTGTTCAACATTATCCTTGAACTGCATATAGGAAGTGTAGTATACATGAAGAAACATACCCTACTATTTTATACATGTAAGATGATGTATAAAAAAACTCTTAAACATAGAAGGTTAAAAATAAGCAATACCACATATTTAAAGTATAATGTAAGATGGTTCTCAACAGAATTTGTTAAGCATCCGAAATGTTCTAAAGCATGTACAACAGCTGGACATTAATCTTGACCTAAAGTTAATTTGTTACACAAAAACATACATTCCTGCAGATGACATTGAAAATGTTGAAACAAGGTCAGTAAACAGCAAACACAAATGTCTTTTAATTCATGGTACAGAATAAATGATGATAAATAATTTTGACTTATTGAATTTACTTGGATTTAAGACTTCCCCTAATTAAAACATCCATTGGACATGTTCCTCAGATATCTTGAAACAGTGTATTCAGTCACTTATTTTTAAAACTGTCAAAACTATTTATTGACTGGATAATTTATAAAAAAAAATACTTTAAAACCTGAATTAAATTTTTCTCTATGACTGGCAAATAATAATCATTCTGGGTATTCATTTCAATTCCATCAGAACTTCTCACATCATTCCTGAAATACAACTACCACTTCAATAGGTGTACACATAACATTAACACACCTAGACAGCTGTGACAATCCTGAGCCTCCCTGGTATGCATGGTATCTGTCACAGTTTCCTTGGCTTGGATGAAAGGTAGGACTACTGCCTGCAGCAGCTTCAGTTCCATCCTGACTCCCAGCTGGTTCCATATACTGAAACAAAGCACACTTATGAAAATGTAAGGTTTATGACCTTGTCCAAGTGTTTGAACACAATCAGAGTAGTACAAGGTGAGGGTAAAAATTAAATGCAAATTTACCTCTCTGATTATCCATGCATATGCATTCGGGAGTGGAGAGACAGCTCCATTGTTTCTTCACCTTGGAAACTAGATGTAGGTGAGTGAGCACCTTCATGTCATGGCCAATTTACCACAGGGAAATGAAACCCCAGTGGGCCCCAGAGTTGATCTAGACATGGCAGCAGAGAGGAAAATCTTGGTACCTACCAGGAATCAAACACCAATTCTCTGGGCATCCAACTAATAGCCCAATCATTACACTGGCCAAGCTATCCTGGCCCCAGTAGCTGGTACCACAGTGTCCAACTACACAGCACAGTATAGTGTATATATAGAGTTTGTCTGTCACAGCAGGAGGAGAAAGACAGAGACAGTTTTAGGACACCCAGAGTCATGAGTCCTGTGGGACTTGGAACGAAGAATGAATGTGCTGGTGAGGGGAGAGCACCAATTTATGAGAAACAGATTTAGATGCTTCAAGTGTTGAGGCTACTTGATACTATCTTAATCACTGCATAGCAGTTACAGTTCTTGTGGTGTGAGGCAGATTTTGTTTCCAGCAGTGGAACTTTATGACACCTCCCATTGTTTCTACATCATTCCTAATACTGAAGGTTGTAGGAATGTATGGCCTAGAAATAAAAATTATTTCAGTTTAACTTTCCGATGGTGATATGTCATTTAACACTTTTCTTCTTCTTCTTTTTAGAAACAAGTAAAGCACATCACATTCATTTTCAATTTCAATTTTCTTGACCAAAGAGATACTCTGTGCTTACTGTGTGCCTGTCCTAGTGAGAACACTGGTGAAGAATGTAACTATAATTCAAATACTAATGACAACTAACGCTAATGTGAGATGCAAAGAAAGGTCTTTATAAGTGGTTCAATTTAAGGGTTTGGTTTGGGGGGGGGACAACAAAGCAGTTATCATAACTGGAATTTCTGAATACATAAAAAATGTAATTCAGATATTTATGGACCCTGACAAGGGTAGTGATTTTCTCTCCCCATTTGCGTCTGGACCGATTCTGGGTAGAAACAAGCCACCTTTCCAATCGAATTTGGAGCTTTTCTCCAGAGGTAAAGTAGTCATGGCATGAAGATGACCACACACCACCAACTAATACCAAAGATAAGAAAGAATGCAGCTGTACTTTCCCTTCACAATACATCTTACTAGTGTGGTACTAATTAAGTACAGGGATAACTTTACATTTTTGTAGAAGCGTAGAGAAACCTACAGTAAGTCCATATAGGTAAACATTGTCTCATAAATTTCCTATCCAAAATGGTCTAAAACAAGATGTTTTATCACCACTACTTTTAAATTTTGCTTTAGAATATACCATTAGAAAAGTCCAGGATAACCAGTAAAGTAAAAGTAAAGGTATCCCTGTAACAGGCAGTGGAGGCCCACAGGCTTGTGAGATGTTGAGGTTCCCACATTTTCTAGAAAACTGGCTCACAGATGGCGACAAGGTTGTCAGCCTTACGTGCCGTTTGCCCTTTACCCCCAAGAATATTTCAAGAATATTCCTGGTACTCATTTATCTTAGAGGCTGAGTCAACCCCAGGGCCATAGTGCAGCTGGAAGGATTAGGTCAATTGGGAAAAATATCCAATGACCTCATCGGGACTTGAAACCGTGACCTTCAGGTTTGCAGCATAGTGCCTCAACCAACTACGCTACTGCGTGCCCCCGCCATGAAAAACAGATGGAACTGGAATTATATGGGACACATCAGCTGCTGGTATGTACTAATGACACAAAACTGCTGGAAGATGACACAGATAACATAAAGAAAAACACAGAAGTTATAACGGATGCTAGTAAGGAGTTTGGTCTAGAAGTAAACACAGAGAAAACTATGTATATATTGATGTCTTGCCAGCAGAATGCAGGACATCATGAGATAAAGAGGATGGCTAACAGATGCTCTGAAAATGTGGTACTGTTCATATATTTGAGAATGACAGGAACAAATCAAAATTTCATTCAGGAAAAGATTAAGAGAAGAGTGAATTCAAGTAATGTTTACTACCATTCAGTCCAGACCCTTTCGTCAACTTGTTTGCTGTCTAA